ACACTACAGCAGCTATTGGCAAGGTGAGGTTTCTTCCATATGTCTAATCTTTCCTCACAAATCCTTCTCCTGTTGTTAGTTTTTGATGTGTTTGTCCCCCAGGGTTTTGCAATTGGATCTGCTGCTCTCGTTTCTCTTGCATTATTTGGTGCATTCGTGAGCAGAGCTGGAATCAAGGCAGTTGATGTGTTGACTCCAAAGGTGTTTATAGGACTGATTGTTGGTGCAATGCTTCCTTACTGGTTTTCAGCTATGACAATGAAGAGCGTAGGAAGTGCAGCTCTCAAGATGGTTGAAGAGGTTCGCCGCCAATTCAATACTATTCCAGGTCTAATTGAAGGGAGAGGGAAACCAGATTATGCTAACTGTGTCAAGATATCTACTGATGCCTCACTCAGGGAGATGATCCCACCTGGTGCTTTAGTCATGCTTACACCACTTATTGCTGGAACATTCTTCGGAGTCCAAACACTTGCTGGTGTCCTTGCTGGTTCCCTAGTTTCCGGCGTACAGGTATATAGTCGCAAAATCATCCTTGTATTTTCCTTGTCAGCCTACTTTTCTTACATAAGAAATTATTCTACATTGATAATTTCTCCTGCATTGTTAACCTCTTTCTTACTTTTCGTGTTTGCATTACGCAATCTTTTTGTTATTTTTTTTCCCTAATCAACATTTAACGTAATTTGATTGAATCACAACGCTTGTTAATTTTGTTTAATCAGGTTGCCATCTCAGCTTCTAACACAGGAGGGGCATGGGATAATGCAAAGAAATACATCGAGGTAGAACCTCTCTCCCTCTCTTCTGTTATTTCTGATCATATTTTCTTTTTCACAATGTGGAAATTGAACAAGCAGATTAAAGCAGAAAAGTAAACAACACATAAAATTGAACGATCCTATTTATTGATTTTTAATCATGTAAAATCAAGACAGGCTGCAAAATTTTCTCTTCTCTCCTATTATATTAGTCACTAGGTAGGTGCATATGTAATATCTCATCTCAAACAGACAAGAAAAGTAAATGATGAAGCGCCACGAAGGTAGGTGCATATTAGTAACTTGAACTTTTGAGACTCCGTGACTGAACTGAGTAAAAGTTGTTTGACCAATAATACTTAAAGACATTGAACATTATATTTTAGCTTGATCAAACCCCAAATCTCTTTCGCAATTCTTGTGTTAATAGTTTTCTCTGACAACTTCGAACGTGATCTCTGCAGGCTGGTGCTTCCGAGCATGCCAAATCCTTAGGTCCAAAGGGGTCAGACCCACACAAGGCTGCAGTCATTGGCGACACCATTGGAGATCCCCTCAAGGATACCTCCGGTCCTTCGCTCAACATCCTGATCAAGCTCATGGCAGTGGAATCACTGGTTTTCGCTCCATTCTTCGCTGCTCATGGAGGGTTGATCTTCAAATTGCTTTAAGTGAAATCTATTCCCTACCTGGGTATACAATGTTTCAGGGATTGACAACTAGTGTTAGTGAAGCTTTTTTTTTTTCTTCTTGTTCCTGGTATCTGGTATGTTCTGAAACGATGACAGAGCATTTAGTATTGAATAAATTAGCCGTTGATGTAGAAGTTTGTCATCTCGAATCTTTGTTTCTTGTAAGTTCTTGCTGCTGCTGCTGCATTCGATATTACGCAGTTGATCATCAGTTTTAACATTATGCGAGGCATAAACAAATTTAACAAGGCATATAATACATATAATTAGTCGACTATACTTGTAAAGTTTCTTGACGTAGTTGTTGACGTGTTAACTAATGAGTCATTTAATTGATACTTTCGTAACTTTTAGTAACGAAACGAATGATTTAAATTTTTTTATACAATTTGAGAATCATCTTTCCGATGTTATATTAAGGCATCAAAACACACATTATCTTTAAAAAAAAACATATATTTATATATACATTATACAAAATTCTTGAAAAACTTTAGTTAAATACAATATGGTTTTACCTTGCTATTATAAATAAAATATTTTTGAAGACAATTTTTTAAAAGTTGTAGAAGAGTGACTTTCAATCTAAGCATCCAAAATTGCTAAACGTATATAAATAAGGGCCGGCCACCCACTATGGATTTTATATCATTCACAAATAAATCCAAGTCCTTCATATATATATATATTTATACAGCCCAAAATTACTTTTATCAGAAATTACTGAATTACTTTTCAAATTTTAGAAATTATTATAATTTTTTTATAAATTAATATTTATATATATATATATATTTGTATATTTGAGTCTTATTTCATATTTAAAAAACAACTTTTATTTTGCATTAATGTCCCCTATGGCCTATTTGAGTGGATCTTTCTATAAAATTTGTTCTTGTTTAATCCAACGCTTAAACCTCAATTAATTAGTTAATCACGATCCTAATCCATAAAATAAATGAAATTTTCTTAAAATCACGTGACATAATCAAGCACTTTCAATCGCAACAGACCATTCGTTGTGCGCCACGTGGTACCCTCCGAAAAGGAACGCACACGAGTTGAGGAATCACCCTCCGATCCCGTCCGCATCAGGACAATCACGTAAATATCGTCCGCGTGTCACGTGCCGTTGCTGCGTCCTCCAACGCTGTATCTCCCAATCGCAGTCCGCCACATCATTCCAATGACGAGGAATTGTTGACGTGGAAGTCATTGATTGGTACACATAAACAGAACTAGTCTACGTGGAAAATTAAACTGGAGAGAAATCCATTTTTAAACTCGCATAATATTCAACGGGGATGACTACTATATATACAAGCCCCTCACTAGTCACTCAAAATAGCTCCACTTCTCTCTCTTCCTCTAACAATGGCGTCCGGGAAATTAAACCCTAGATGTCTCTCCCTTGTCCTCCTTTCCGTCCTCGCAGTCGCATCTGCTGAGGTGTTCTTCGAGGAACGCTTCGACGGTATCTCTCCTCATTCTCTCTCTGTACATGTCTGACTAAGTGGATGTACACGTGTATATCTACGATTTATGTGTTTCTCATTTTCTCTCTAACTAGATCGGTTTCCTATTTCGGTACTTTCTTCGAAATTGAGCTTATCGCTGTGTTGTATGTGTCGTTTTGATGTTCAATTGGGTGTAAGGTGCCGGTAATTGGTGAGTTTTGTGTGCGATCTGGTGATTTTCTATTGCTAGATTCGTTTTAATCTGTAAATATGTGCATATGAGGGATTAGTTCGGTTAGATCCGTGAATTAATCGCCAGGTGCTATTTTTTCTGGATCATCATCTTGGAAATGCTGTGCCTATTGAGGGAAATGACAGTCACTAGCCCATGGGCAATTTCATAGGCGTAGATTCCGTTTTGATACACTATTTTAATGTTGAAGTGTCGGTTTAATAACAGTATAAGCATCTGTGCTTTCATGCTACCACTGTTGCGTTAGCGGGTGATATAAGTCAATTGCAAAACTTTTTTTATTGATGCGCCGTCGATGTTTGCATTACTTTGAATAAATACTAACTCTTTGGTTAAAGAAATGCACCAATGTCATGTTGAACAAGTCGTGTAATGTGATTAAGTTGTCTCAATTGGTAAGAATAAATTTTTTGCAACTTTGCAGATATTTTTGTTTAAGATGTAAAAGAATTGATCTGAAATTTTTGGTAGGTATGTTTGCTTTATCTCGTGATTTAGAAATGTGAATGTTTCCGTGAGACTAGTTCTCTGTATGGCTGCTTGGCGTGGTCAAGGTGACCTTTTAGGAACTAGAAGAATATGAGCCTTTTGGCAAATATTCTACTTTTTTCTAAATTACGTTATCGTACTCTGTAATGGAAGAAATTTGGAAGAGGAAAAAGAGTGAAAAAGAAAAAAAAAATTATTTATTTCGCATATTCATACTTGACATCATAAATGATACAACTAAATCCTTTAGTTATTTTTAATTCTCTTTTCTCCTTGGTCTTTTTGTTTTTGACTTTTTTGAAATTAAAGACGGATGGGAGAAACGTTGGGTTAAATCTGACTGGAAGAAAGATGATAATACTGCTGGGGAATGGAACTACACATCTGGCAAATGGAATGGAGATCCTAATGACAAAGGTTCCTTTCTAAGCCATTCTAATGTCTTTACCATTCTGGATTTGATCTAATAGGTTTTAATCTGATGATGTCTAATCTTACTATATAGGCATCCAGACAAGTGAAGACTACAGATTCTATGCTATTTCAGCTGAGTTCCCTGAAGTCAGCAACAAAGATAAGACTCTAGTCTTCCAATTTTCTGTCAAGCATGAGCAGAAGCTTGATTGCGGTGGTGGCTACATGAAGTTGCTAAGTGGTGAGGTTGACCAAAAGAAATTTGGTGGGGAAACTCCATATAGGTAGGCTGCCATCTCCTGCTAGTTGATATAACATCCTAGACCCCAATTTATCATCCTTTTTTAATTGCTGACTGTTTGTACATTGTTTCCCGCAGCATTATGTTTGGACCTGATATCTGTGGCTACAGTACCAAGAAAGTACACGCTATTCTCACCTACAATGGGACCAATCACTTGATCAAGAAGGAGGTTCCATGTGAAACTGATCAGCTAACTCATGTTTATACATTCATCCTTCGTCCAGATGCTACATACAGCATCCTCGTTGATAATGTTGAGAAACAAACTGGTAGTTTGTACTCTGATTGGGATCTGCTCCCCCCAAAGAAAATCAAAGATCCTGAGGCCAAGAAGGTATGAAATTTTTAGAATACTAATAGTTTCTGTCGAAACAGTGTTTCTTCCAGTTTTATTTGTTGATAATAATCTAATTTATGTGTGGCAGCCTGACGATTGGGATGACAAGGAATACATTCCTGACCCTGAAGATAAAAAACCAGAGGTAAAAATCCTCAAGTTTTCAAAGTCAACTGTTCTTCAGCGAAAGCTTTTTGTTTAGTGTTTTGAAATACACAACTGGTTGTGTTTGCTTTATCTGTTGCAGGGTTATGATGACATTCCAAAGGAGATCCCAGATCCTGATGCCAAGAAGGTATGCATTTACTCTATGCCATTCAGAACATAGTGGCTTATCAAGAGAATATCGACTTCTCACTATTGTCTTTTATTCTAGCCTGAGGATTGGGATGATGAGGAAGATGGTGAATGGACAGCCCCAACAATCCCGAATCCTGAGTACAAGGGTCCATGGACGCCAAAGGTTTGCTTGAAGTTCTCACTTAAACTAAATATTATGTCCCACAATTAAGATTTCTTGGTTTCTTTTGCCTTACAGTCTTCTCTCTTTCCACAGAAAATTAAGAACCCCAACTACAAGGGCAAATGGAAGGCTCCTATGATTGACAACCCAGGTAATTTCTTTTTCTCTTGTATACATGTTATTTGACTTTTACTTGAAATTTTCTCTTTTCATGCTAGTGTGCTAATGCATTGCACAAAATTTTTTAATGGCATAGATTTCAAGGATGACCCTGATCTTTATGTTTTCCCCAACTTGAAGTATGTTGGTATTGAATTGTGGCAGGTAACACTTTTCCCTTACTATTGTTATGCTCAGTTAATTAATGTACTACTTCCCTGAATTTTTTATAAGCAACATGCATAATGTATCAGGTGAAATCTGGGACATTGTTTGACAATGTCTTGCTCACCAACGACCCTGAGTATGCCAAGAAGCTTGCTGAGGAAACATGGGGCAAGAACAAGGATGTATGTTTTGCTTATTCCTTTCTAGAAAGTGATTTTCAAAAGGACAGGCTATTCATTTATCTTTAATTGAGAACATTTTGTGTGCAGGCTGAGAAGGCAGCATTTGAAGAGGCAGAGAAGAAGAGGGAGGAAGAGGTAAAATCGCCTTGCTAAATTCCTTTATATGTATTTTTCTTTGGGGAGAAATTTTTTGATACGGCTGGCTTGAATCTTGATCTATTTTATGAGATAATTTATACTGGCTCAGATAAATCTTAATTGGGCAATGAGAGCTGCTCTTTCTTTTTGTTTGTCATATGAAAAGCTCGTGTTTTACTTGGGTGCATAGCCTTGTTTGAGAAATTTGTTGATTTTATTTTCTGCCACTTCACTGATTCTTATGCTTTGTTCTTCTACCAGGAGTCCAAGGATGATCCAGTTGACTCTGATGTAAGCTTAATGTCTATGTTTTCCTCACGATCTGCTAGTTTCTATTCTCGGCTGCTTGTTCTAATTTTTATGCATTCCAGGCCGAAGAAGAAGAGGAGGCTGAGGAAGATGGCCACGAGTCCGACAGCGACTCTAAATCCGACAGCGACTCTAATCCGAGGAAACCGAAGAGAGCACAGGACATGTAGATGCCCTTTTTTAACTTAGTAATCATACTAACACAAAGTTGAGAATATTTCTGTTTGCTCATCATCAATTTCTTGTGGCCTTTTTTTTTTTTTTTTCCTTTTCAGGATGAGCTGTAGATCGAGTGTGCTGCAATTCATTGGGGACAAAGCTTTGGATGTCTGACAGCTCCTAAATTTTTCCATCCTTTCTTTTTTTCTAATATCTTAATTGTAGGATTTCTTAGATGAGAAAAAAACTTTTGAAGGCTGCAAAGCTAAGCGCGCATGCTAGTTGCTTTATATCTCTCTCATTTTAAGCGCCCCCTTTAGATAAAAGAGACTTGTTTGTGTCTAAAGTTTTTATGAAATAGTCGGATCATTTGAGTCTTCTATTTTTCCTGTGTTTTTTTCTACACTGTTCTCTTCACTCTCTCGTACAACACTAATTGATTGAAGCTCTTGGAAGGGAGATATTTTTCTGCGCTCCGCGAGCGCTGACACGGTTTTATTAATGATACATATGTTAATGGGCTGGACAAAATAAACTCGTATGTTCCAGGTCAATCTGACTCCAGACTACAGCTTGGGCTCTGATTCTCTCACGAGCTTGTCCCAAATAAAAACCAACAAACAATATTTCAATTGCCTCGAGACTAATATATGTCTTACCGTAGTTAGAATCTTCCTTGTAACCTCTTACACAAGTACTTTTACTCTGGGATGATGGAATGTAGATTCTTCACGGCACAATAAAAAGCAAACTTCATTTTTTAATTTTCTTTCACAACCCATAAAACCCTCTCTGTAATTTACAACCTGATAATATTTTATGTGTGTTACTACACACAACGACGCTATTAAACTTTAAAAAAAAATTACATAGAAATATGTTAAACCGAGAGAATGCCGCCGTACTAAATTATTTACATACATTCTAATCAAAAAAAATTTCTTCGAAACTCATAGTAAAAAAAAAAAAAACAAGTACATAGAAAATTTTTGAACGAAACAAATTCAATACAAATACCTTGACACCGGCGGTAAACATTCTGCAACACACCAAACTTCTGTCAGATATTAAAAAAATAATAATAATAATAATAATAAATTTGAAAGGTGTGGGCCCGGGCTTGAAAGGCCCACGACGTTCAATAATAAAAGAGAAACAGTAAAACATTCAAACAAATCTTACATCCCGTAATTTTATTTTCCCGCCAACCCGGGAAAATTTATTCTCGACCCTACTTACAGAGTCCTCGCTCTCCCTCTCTTTTCAATCTTTCACGCGCCACTTCGCTATCGCTTCCGTCGCCTCATCTCCTCTCCAAGCTCGGCTTCTCCGCATCCCTTCGTCGACTAACCAAAAACCATGCCGACAACTCGGGGGAGCGCTTCCCGATCAAGATCGGCAGCTGATTCTTCGACGGCTCCCTCAAAGAAGCCGAGGAGAAGCGAGAAACCGCGGGCTGCGGCAGGAGCGGAAGCCCGTTTCGCCGAGACCCAAGTCAACACGCCCTTGATATCATGTTCTAGGAGCAATTTGAAGGGTAAGAAAGAATCTCAAAAGAAGCGGAAGGTTGTCGGAAGGGAGGGAGGAGCGGATGGAGCTGCTTCGGAGAAAAAGGCTAGATCTAACGGAGAAGAAGATGAGCAGGTGCTTTCGGAGGAATACGGGAGTCCAACCGCGTCAGGAATGGGATTGGCGGGGTCAGAATCTGAAACTAGTTCCGCTACTGCCTTGGAGACCAAAGCCGGGGGAAAAGAAGTGGCTTCGAAGAAGCAGAAGATTAGCGCGGAGGAGGAGGAGGAGGAGGAGGAAAATCATGGCGACGAAAACAAAGGAGCAGGGAGAGCTAATCCCGAGAGAAAGGGGGATGAAGATGGAGGGGATGCTCGATTTATTGGAGAGCCAGTGCCTGACGAGGAGGCGAAGCGACGGTGGCTTCATAGGTACCAAGGAGAGGTAACGGGTCACACTTACACGTGCATTATGTTCTTAATTTCATTTATAAATCAATGAAACAAAATGCAAGTGATTTAGAGATGGTTGATGATGCTCGACTGTGATTTTGATATATGATTCTGGGTATGTGCATGTTTGGCGCCTGGTAATAGGAGAGAAAAATCCGTTTGGTTTCAATCTCTTATTTTATGTTATCTTTCTGCTTTGGAGGTGCAGTGGGTTTAGAAAATTAAGTTGATAAGCTATTTCGTTAGGGAATTAGAACATAACTCGGACGCCAACAAAAGGAGTCCGAAAGACATCATATATCTGTCGGCCTTTTCTGTTTAGTCGGTTTTAATTCGTTTATTCAAATTTCAATTTCAGGAACCACTAAGACTTTGGGTCGGAATGTTCTAAATAGGACAAAGGGCTTAACTTCTAATCTAAACATGTGAATAAATCAGGCATCTGTTACACGCTTTCTGCAACCTAGACGTTTATTTGCACCCAATTGCAAGAAGTGGAACCTAAAAATTGCTAGCTTTATCTTTTTGTTCTACCTCTATCTGTTGAGGAAAGCTGACTAATTCGTGCACAAGTTCAGAAAATAAAGTTAAAAGTGTAATTATGGCTGCATATCTTAGCATTTAGAAAAATGGAATCTTAATCTTTTACCAATCATTTTGCAGAAGCCAAAACGAAAAGCTGGTTCAAGAAGTTTAAAGGAGTAAGTTCGCATAATTTGATTTATTATGCAACGTGTATGAAAAAAATAATGTCTTCACAGCTTTTGTTTGACAGTCCCCCTTCTGGAATTTTAGGGATGATGAAGATGAGATCATTCAAGCTCGGTGCCATTACACTTGTGCAGAAGTAGATACTATCAAATATAATCTTTATGATGATGCTCATGTGCAGGTGGGTTTATTTTAGTTTATGATTATATCAGATAGATATTTTATAGCTTGAATGGTGAAATTGTGGCACTAGTTTTTTTTTTTTTGTACTTAATCTTGGCAAAGTTGAAAACTAACTTGTACCATTTTCATTTGTTATATATCTCTAACATGCGAATGATCAAGACAAATATCTCATATTTTTTTTTTTGTTTTCTTCAACATTTCCTAGGCTGGAGATGGAGATGATTGTTTTATTTGTAAGATTGTTGAAATGTTTGAAGCCGTTGATGGGACTTCATATTTCACTGCTCAGTGGTTTTATAGAGCCAGAGATACCGTTAGTATTCTTTGATAAAGCACTTGGAATATTTATAAAGTACAAGTTCTATCTCTGTTTTCTTTTTCAGAAAATACATTATCTTATTTGTTTCTTCTTTTCTAGGTCATTCAAAAGCTTGGACATCTTATAGACAAGAACCGTGTCTTCTTTTCAGAGATTCGGGACGACAATCCCTTAGAATGCCTTGTCAAGAAACTGAAGATTGCAATAGTTCCTTTAAATGTAATTTTGTGGATTCTCAAGCTTTTCATTTCATCTCTTTCTTTGTGGTTTTGTGATAGTCATTTTTTAAATGTTGGTACTTGTTTCTCAGGTGGACTCGGAAACAAAAAGTGCAGGACTTCCAGTTTGTGATTATTACTCGAATATGAAGTATTTATTGCCATACTCCACATTTGTTCCTTTTCCAACAGGTTATTATTATAATTGTTCTTTATTTTTGTGAAGTTCGTTTTTCATTCATGGAAATTGAAGTTATTTTTTGGTTTCTTATAATCCTCGAACTTGCAGAATCTAGGACGACCGGCAGTAAGGCATCATCGACAATTTCAAGCGCCGGTGACGAACATGGTTTACCTACTGTGAAATCTGACAATGAAGAGGTCTCTGAAGTTCAACAACTCTCAAAACGAGATGTCACCCTGCTGGATTTATATTCTGGTTGTGGTGCAATGTCAACTGGGTTATGTCTTGGTGCGACTTTATCCGGTTTAAATCTTGTTACGGTAAACTTTCAGCTTCATCTATGGTGCATAGTATTTCCCAAGCTTTTAGTGCCTTATGATAAAGTAGCGAAATGATACTATTTTCACAGAAATGGGCGGTCGATCTAAATAAATATGCTTGCGAGAGTCTCAAATTAAATCATCCAGAAACAGAGGTAAAATTTTGTTGCAGTTTCCTATGTCGTTCATTGTTCGTATATGAACAATAACAGAGAGAGAATCTATTTCCAAATTAGGTAAGGAATGAAACTGCTGAAGACTTTTTATCTCTGCTAAAGGAGTGGGAAAAGTTGTGCATCAGTTTCAATTTGATTAAAGCTAAAGATTCACGACAACCACCTCCCAGTTTTTTTCATTCTAAAGAAGAGGAAGATGGTGAAAACGAGAGTTCTGATGAAAGTGATGGTGAAGATGATTCGGAAGTATTCGAAGTTGAGAAGATTCTTGCAATATGTTATGGTGATCCTAATGGGAAAGAGAAGCGTGGAGATCATAAAGAAAAAGGAAAACGTGGATTGCATTTCAAGGTATTGGAAACCTAAGCACCCGGGTTGAAATTTAATTTTTTATTTTCTGACATAAATGTTCTGTTAGTAGTCGAAATTTTGCTGGAACCTTTTGCTAATTCTATTTAAACGGTACACGACTATGTTTCTTTTCATTTGGTTAGGTACTACACTGGTCGCACCTAAAAATGAATTTGAACAATTTAGATGAGGTTCAACGTCTGCATTGTTAGAATAATTTCATTCCTTTTATATTGTATTCATTAATCAAATTACATAGAGAAGGTAAGTCTACCTTGACATAGAATATGCAAAGCCAGAGCCTGTTGGAACAGATGTTAATTCCTGAGTGATACTAAGAGTTGGGGTGCAATCCTCTTTTCCTTCGAAGTTTTGAAGTGCAAAATTATGGAAGTTTTGCTGTATTTAACGATTGATGTAATCTGGTTATTTCCTTTTCGCTCTTAGATTTCTTGTCTGCCTCCTGTTACGGTATGTATGCATGCATGAACACATACTATTAAAGCAGGACAGTGATTTTCGGTTTATCCGGAGTATGGTTGAGTACGTGCCCGGTTTCCCTTTTTTTATGTAATTTTTTGATTTCGTAGTAAATTTATGACATTTTGGATTTACTGTACTTTAACCGAGTGAATTTAATTAGATTTTTGCTTGTTCTTTGTTTCGTTATTTGATTTTATTAATGTACCATGGTTTTAAATGTTAATATCTTTTTTTTTTTGCAAAAAATGTTTGTTTTTCAGGTCAGTTGGAAAAATTATGGCCCTGATGAGGACACTTGGGAGCCAATTGAGGGACTTGGGTGAGCAATCAGTTCTCTCGTTACACTTCTATATACACACGTACATCCCAAGAGATCTAAAGTCATCTTTAAATTGCTATGTAGAAATTGTGAGGAAAGGGTCAAAGAGTTTGTGGTGAAAGGATTCAATTCAAAGATGCTCCCTTTGCCGGTATGCACATTCATTCTATATTAGTTAATTTATCGGTATTGTATTTAGCTTAATTTATCTTTTAGTTAAAATAAGCTTATAAATTCTTAAAAATACAGTATTTGTTTTCTGAGAAAAGAGGGGCATACTATTATTCCTTAAATAGGTTGACATCCATCATAAGAAATGAAAAGTAGATGGATTGAGAAATCATGAGCTTCTTTTGATGGAATAACATCATTGAACCCTTATAAAGCTTCACTAACAAAGACCTTTGTAATATGATTACAAGCTTTAGGAATAAACAAAAAAAATCCAAATAAGTAAGTCTTAGCATCATGAGCTAATAAACCAAGCTTAAAGAGAATCTAAAAAAACTTAAAAAATTAAAATAAAATTCTTTATGCATTTCTGTTCAGAATATTATGAACTAGTCTCCAAGAGAGGAACACCGAATCCATAATTGTGGTGCTCACAACTGGTCAAAGTCGGACTTCTTCACCTTTGGTATCCTTCACTACTTGCAAACACTATCCTACTTGTCCACTGATTGCTAGTAGAACTTGTATTTGTATTAGTTTTGAAAAAACCTTGTTGAGGCATAACCTACATTTATGCTTTTGTTTTAGGTATTTTAGGCTTACTAAAATAACCTTTATTCTGAAAAGTAAAGGGCACCTTAATCTCATTCTTGTTAACTTCAAAATTTATTGAATTGAAAACAATGAGTTTTTTCTTTTAATTAAATAATTAACAACTTAAGACTTATAGAACTAAAACAAGCACAATTATCTTAGACCCTTGATCATTTTATCTGTTCTAAACAAGTGCTCAAGATTTTAATTATTTTCAATAAATCTTTCTTTTTCTTTTTACCCAGTGTAATTAGAATAGATCTTTTATCTTCTAATAGTCTTTATTTTTAACTTAAGATGAACTAATTTCTTAGACTTTTGTATACTCCATTTGTTCAGGGAGATGCAGACGTAATTTGTGGAGGCCCTCCATGCCAAGGCATTAGTGGCTTCAACCGATTTAGGAATAGAGATAACCCTTTAGATGATGAGAAAAATAAACAACTTCTTGTTTACATGGATATTGTAGAGTTTCTTAAGCCAAAATATGTTCTGATGGAGAATGTAGTTGACATTTTAAAGTTTGCTGATGGATACCTTGGACGCTATGCGTTAGCTCGCTTACTCGAGCTAAATTATCAAACTCGGATGGGAATGATGGCAGCCGGCGCATATGGGCTTCCTCAATTTCGTATGCGTTTCTTCTTGTGGGGTGCCCGCCCAACCGAGGTTATTATTAAAATTATTACTTTTAATGCCATCACTTTGTTGGCTATTGCGCCAACTAAAGATTCATGTCTTGCAGAAGTTGCCCCAGTACCCCCTTCCGACACATGATGTTGTTGTCAGAGGTGTTATTCCTTTAGAATTTGAGGTGCGAAGCTTTTATCTTTTCTAATCCAGCTTACAAGATGGATTATATTAATATTATATGCGATGGTTGCAGAGTAACACTGTAGCTTATGATGAAGGTCACACAGTCAAGCTAGAGAAAAAACTTTTACTTGCGGATGCACTTTCTGATCTTCCACCAGTACGTTGTAGAAACTTTTGTTACTTCTGTTACTTTCCAGTACTTAATGTATTATTTTACCTAGTTTTCTTAGTATTTGACTTCATTTCCTTTTTGACTCCAGGTGGGGAATGATGAAGCAACGGATGAAATGCCATATAATAAAGCACCCGAAACGGCATTCCAACAGTTCATAAGGATGAGGAAAGATGGTGAGTGGTTATGATCTATCGAGTTTTTTTTTTTTTCTAGTCATGGAACCATATGATGCAAAGTTTAATTCTTATTTCCCTTATTTCTCCAATAAATTTTAGGTTCTTTACCAAATGTAAAATCTAAAGAAAATTTGCTGTACGATCATATCCCACTAAACTTGAACAATGACGACTATCAACGTGTGTGTCGGATTCCCAAGAGAAAGGTACCCTACTTCCCGTTCTCATATTAACAAAAAAAAAAAAAGAAGCTTGTAATACTTATTACTGCATTGAAGTTATAAGCTCTTCTTTGTTCTAGTTTGTTAGTTTCCTTTTTTTTTTTTGGCATAGGGAGCAAATTTTAGAGATTTGCCAGGTGTGCATGTTCGTCCTGATAACAGAGTTGAATGGGATCCTAACGTGGAGAGGGTTTACTTGGATTCCGGGAAACCTTTGGTAATTGTCTCCTTGTGTAATTTCCTGTCATATGTGTTCGTGTGTTAGTTTTACTTCAATTATTCGCGTTCTTTTTCTTTAATTCATTTTCACCACTTCTGTTTACAGGTTCCTGATTATGCCATGTCATTTATAAACGGATCATCCTCGAAGTAAGTTGTCTTCTCTTTTTTTGCATTATAATCTAAGACTGAAGAGGTGTTTGGTCAACTTATTATTTGGTGACTCTGAGTCTAAAATTGCATTTAGATTTTAATATTGTTTCTTGATAATTTGGTTTCCAATATCTTCATCTCATAAACAATGTAGGCCTTTTGCACGACTGTGGTGGGATGAAACTGTACCAACGGTTGTTACAAGAGCAGAGCCACACAATCAGGTGAGGTTTTTTCTGTTTGTATTTGGAACTGGGAAATTGTATTCGTGGATTACGCACATGGACAAGAGATAATTACTCTTTTTGCAGGCAATTTTACACCCTGAACAAGACCGTGTTCTGTCTATCCGTGAGAACGCAAGGCTTCAAGGTTTTCCTGACTATTATAAATTTTGTGGGCCGATAAAAGAGAGGTATTTAATCATTTATATTTATCCTTCAGATTATTCTTGTGATGTTGTTTTAACAATTCAACAAGGAATGCTGTGCAAATCCGCACTAACTACCAAAATCAGTGCAAGTCAATTCATATATACTTGCTTCAGCACTTTTTCATACTTCTATCAAAATTCTCAAATATATCCTATATCCCCTGCCTGAATATCAAAAATTTTCGGAAGATCCATTTTCAGAAAAGCCTCCTCCTAAAGTTCCGTGTAGTTGCTTGATACGATCGCATGAGCAATCCAACCCCAATTCCAAACCCAATGCATATTCCAAGGCCAACCCCAACTCCAAATCTAACACCAGAATTAAACCATGGGAGCTCCCCATCTTCCTCTGTATATGCGTCTTCAGAGAGATAACTGTTTCCAATTTTCCCACCTGATTCGTAATCAACTTCTGTTTCCATAAACTGAAATTTTCTGTTTCGAACCAACCTATTAGCACCACCACCACCCTTGTGATCGTTTCCGACCTCCCTGTCCTCTGGAATGGCGTCCAACGTCGCAAGCCTCGAGCTTTTCTTCCTGGGGCTCAACTGAATCGTCTTGGTCAGAATAACCGGCACACCCCCACAACATCCAGCGATATAAACCTCTATGGACGTTGACGAAATACCGAGCTTCGGCTGGAAAAACGCCGACCCAGAACCTGAACCTGAACCGGAACCGTTCCCTACGGCCATATAGCAGTCCATATCCCACCCGGTTTTCTCATCGCCTACGCTCCGGTTGCTCCACGTGCCTTCCATCCTCTCCAGGCTACCGCACAGGAGCAGGTCATTGTTCCCGTAGACCTCGAATTCGAAACCCCCGGGTTACGCGCATGGCGTCCGTGCAGACATAGGTGACCTCAGACGACTCTCGGTCGAGGCGTTCACGGCGGAGGACGATGGAAGCGGCATCTGATGCGTGTACGAGGGAGCCATTGATCTCGAGCGACATTCCGGTTGCGCGACACGGGTGGCAGAGAGTGAGATAATCCGGTACACTCCCGATCACGCAGGGCGCAATTCGGACGTAGAAGAAGCGGATTTCGAGCTTCGTCGATTGGGACAAAGAGAGCGCGGGGCCATCCATTAGGTGGTAGGACTTCCCGGTCTTTATGGGGAAGGGTCTGGGTAATGGATCGGGTTCCTTATGATCCATTCGATTCTCCAAACCAGGAATACAGTTTGGAAGTTGGGGAAGAAAGGAGAGATAAATACGTTAACAGACGTTTCTGAATGATGGTATGCCGCGGCGAAGCAGAGGAGAAAAGAAAGAGATACAGAAGGCCGTTGAATCAGAGGGAAAAGAAAAAAAAAAAAAAAAAAAAAAAGAGCTGCTCACTGATGTGAAGAAAGAAATTATTCAACCTCCGGAAAATTAACCCGTCTCTGATGCTATGGATACAACTTCTATTTATTACCGTTTGTTTGGAGGGCGGTAGATATTACTGAATAGAGTTATTGCACTCGCAGAAAACTCCTATCTTATGCAACTCCTATTTATACACGTCTCTATTTAGACAAATAAAGGTTAGATTACATACAAAATAGCCTGTATAGTAAATAAAATTTTGAGAAAGGCCCTAATATGTCCAAAATCATTTATTATCATTATCTCCTATTGTGTTAATCATAGAGGAAGCTAAAGCAGACGAATTGTAGAGTAACTAGGAACTGAAGTTGGTGATAATCGTTGATGATTGCAGAAGAAAAGTAGGAGATTACAAAAAATGACCTCGTTCTTACATCTACAAAGTGATGTTGGCATGTAATAGAAGTGATATTTTAGATGACATTAATGTAAACAAATAAACTGATCAAATTAAAATTATAAACTGTAAATTGGGATTGTGTTGAAAGTTTAGCCTTCTTTTTCTGGGTTAATTTCCGTAACAATATATTTTTGAAGAATAAATACTCAATTTTCCTGCCTTGCCTTTTCCCTTAGGAACCAAGCTTTTATGGTTGCTACCAATGTTTTTCATAAAGCTGATAAGCGGTTTTTTTATTTGATTATTTTTGTGATCTTATGTTAGGTATATTCAGATTGGGAATGCGGTGGCAGTTCCTGTTGCGCGAGCTCTTGGATACACCTTAGGATTGGCTTATCAAGGTCTTGCAAATGATGAACCATTGTTCACTCTACCTGAAAGATTTCCAGATATTTCGGAACGAGTTTCTGAGACATCTGAAGACGCATTTGTATTGGTAAGCTGTACTAACATGCACGATTTGCTTGAGCTAGAGTTTATTTGTGTACTCGCTTAGAAGAAATATACTTACACCGACCTTTTTAGTCTTATACTTCTCTTTCACACATCTGTTCTGACCAATTATAGTTGGCCAAGGAAGTGGAAATAGGAGGAATTCTTAAACTTTACATGCAGGAGACAAGTTTGTCCAAGTAGCTGTTTCGTGTGAATGCTTTTTACCAATTTTAGTGGATGCAGTCAGAAGGAAATTTTCCCAACATTTCTCCTCTGAAAATATTGTTTGTTTTTTTCAGGCTGAGAATGAGTCTGGCTCTGACAACATCAAAAGAGATGACTCTAACATAAATTAAACACCAGAGGTCAGTCCAGGTTGCTTAGTAAGGATAAAGCTTCTATAGAATGATTTCGTTAGCTCATAAATTCCTCTTTATTCAAATGAAGTTGATCCTGGTATCATAAACATTTAGATGTACCATATGTGATACTTTATTTACGAGTACCGAATAAAGCTGAGTTGCTTTAATTTGTAATGGCGGTTGACAGGAGAGCCAGATTATGAACAGGGCTTTTTTTTTTTTTTTTTTTTTTCTGAGAAATACAGCTGACAAGTGCAAGAAAGTTATCCTCTCGTCATAATTTTATCATACACATTCATATTTGGCCGATGCCAGAATAACAAGAATTCAAGAAGATATTGACCCTACATACACACTGACAATACACACTTCAAAAGAAGAAAATCAAAGATGGGAACGGTAAAATTGTTGTCTTCCATCATCTGTTGCCGTTACTGAATTTAGGTTTCTTCACAATCAAAACTGGGCACTTCACGGTCTGTGCACAGTGGTTGCTCACACTCCCCAGCCAAGCTCTGCCATGGAAAGAACACAGAGGTTATTATAGAAAAACTTGTTCATGCCCAACAGAGTCGTCATCAACTTCAACGGTGATAAAACAATCAATCAGTCAAGTACGAAAATATAGCCCACCTTTTGATCAAACCGTACCCGCGACTCCCCATGACCAGCACGTCGGCATGCAGCTTCTCTGCCACCTCGCAAATCACGTCCCTCGGATCACCCGTCTGTACTATCGACTCCACCTCAACCTAACCCACAAAGCACAATAAAACCAAACGTCAAACTGGTCCCTAAACCAAATGACAAAAAAAAAAAAAAAAAAAAAACCCTAGCAAAATGGCGTTATTACTCACGTCCTGAAATTCCTCCCTGCAGATCTTCGTGGACTTCTCTATAACCCAAGCTGCCAACCCATTGACATACACGTCCGTGGACGCCATTATGTCCGCAGAAAACATATACCCTGAAAAATTTACCAAAATACCATTCAGAAAACCTCCCTCCCCAAAAAAATGCTATTCCGGCCAGGACGATACTGTCTCCTACCTGTCCCGTCAAGAGCTGCGTGCACTGTTTTTGGCGGTTTGGCGTAGACGAGTATAAGGGTATCCTTGGAATCTTGACAAATTATGTTGTGGAGGCACCACGAGAGGGCGTACGTGCTCTCCTCGCTGTCATCGACGGCTACGAGGATCTTCCTCTCCTTCTCTCCCACGTCAGCCATCGCCGGTTGATCGAACGGTCGAGAATAGTCGAAAAAAATAAAAGGGTCAGACAATCTGAATGTTCGTTTTGGTTCGAGGAAGGTGGTGCGTTAATGGCTGCTGTTCCTGTGGGTTTTGGCCCTTTTGGAAACATGGCTCTTTGATGGTTTTCAAGGCATTCTTCTTTTAATTTTAAATTTTTTAAAAAAAATATATATATATATATATATATAGTGGAAATTTGTTTTTCACTTTTGACTAATTAAAGAAATAAAATATATTTTTATTAGGGTTGGAAATTAGAATCCAATGAGTAGTGGGTCCCAACATTTTATATTTTTATTATTATCATAAAATATTATTTCTTTAAACCAAGGCATTATATTATTTAATATAATATGTTAAAAATTTAACACTTATATATTAAATAAATATTATATTTTTTAATTCGTTATAATTATTAAAAAAATTATTTTAGCAAAAATGGAGAAGATGTGACATTCGTTGACTAGAGTCAATGACCGAATCTCTTGTTTTTTACAAATTGTTTATGATTAATTAGAGAAAATAAAATAAAAATAAAAGGAACTAAACGACGGCGTTTGGGCGAGTGCCTTTTTGCCTCTCTGGTCTTTCTGACTCTCCGGACTCCGGACTATTGGACGACGACGTCCGTACTATAAGGCAAAGCCACCAATAACTCACCTTCCTATAATGCAAAAACCATAAATCAACGGCAGAGATTCACCGAATTCCCCAACTAACACAGCAAATACCCAATCACGTTTTGCCACCTCACTCGTCCACATCACCTACTGGATTTAGATGCACCCCGTGTTTGCACATCGTAAACTCACTCCTTGTTTTCACACACACTCGCCATAACGGGTTCGCTGATTTCCCCCGTTTTTATACGTTCCTCTGTCGTTAGATTTGTCGTCACTGCAATTCTGAGTTTTGAAATTAGGTTTTTAGTTTGGGTGATTTTGTTGAATAGATAGCGAGGAGGAACCATGTTTTTGTTTGATTGGTTCTATGGAATCCTCGCATCTCTAGGGTTGTGGAAAAAGGAGGCCAAGATCTTGTTTTTAGGGCTCGATAATGCCGGCAAAACGACGCTGCTTCATATGCTTAAAGACGAGGTAAGCTTTCCTCTCGACTTTGATTTTAAAAGTACGGTACCCTTTTTTTTCTTTTAGAGTTCTTCTGTTCTCTCGTTTGTTTTTCTCTTCAGCGTTATCGTTTTAGTGCAACTGTTAATATTGAGTTGTGAAGTAGTCTGTTGTTTTGTTTAACACGCTGTAAATCAGAAAGGATAAAATTAATTTGATTTTTTTTTTAATTGTTGGGTATCAGTGGATTGTCTGTTTTGGTTACTGTGTGAAGTTGGAACAAGTATATCCAGTTATTTTTTTAGCTCAAAGAGGTCGTGGATGAACTAAGCATGTATGTTTTTCCTGGATATTCTATTTTTTTCTTAAAAAAAAAAAGTTATAATTCATTGGTTTGTTTGGTTGCTGAGAAAGCTATTTAGAATGCCGTGGTTAAAAGCTTTTCAATCAATTCAAATTCCATGAACATTGCAAGACTTGATGTTAAACACGTGATCCTTAAGTTAAGCAGCTGGGAAGCATAATAGTGTTTTACTTTTGCAATTGCGTGATTAAAAGGAAGCGTTTTTCTGTGATATTATGATTGCTTAAACAATATGATTATTCTTAATGTGTTGGTTATTAATCATGGCATGGCAGAGATTAGTTCAACACCAGCCCACCCAGTACCCTACATCGGAGGAGTTGAGTATTGGGCAGATCAACTTCAAGGCTTTTGATTTGGGAGGCCATCAGATTGCACGAAGGGTCTGGAAAGATTACTATGCCAAGGTAGATCCTTTCACTCCCTCCCTCTCTCTCCTGTTTCAAGCAATGGCAATTGATTTTGGTTGGGGAATTGCCACTGAGTTTCCTGAATGATAGTTTGATCGTAGGGCTTTTACTTTGTTTGATTACACCTAAGCTGGCTCGGGAGCTTGTTTTTATTATGTTCTGATTACTAGTTTGTATGCAGCTGCTTTCTGAATTTTCCTTTGAATTGTATCATAGTAGTTGTGCCTCCATAATCCCAGATAATATATTCTTCTGATTATCTGATTCATGGGAGGCAGAGAACAAAATGTGTGGGTTCTCTGATAGCACCTTTGCTTTAAAAGATGGTGTTCTAGTAGTACCTCAACACACATTATTTTTTTTTTAATGTTAAAAACAAAGAAAATGTAAGTCTTTGGCTCATTACCTGAGTGCACCAAACGTATGTTTGTTTGTTTAACATTCAGGTGGATGCGGTTGTCTACTTGGTGGATGCTTATGACAAGGAGAGGTTTGCAGAATCCAAGAAAGAGCTGGATGCTCTCCTTGCTGACGAGGCTTTGGTCAATGTTCCGTTTCTTATCTTAGGCAACAAGATTGATATACCATATGCTGCTTCAGAAGATGAGTTGCGATGTCACCTTGGTCTTACTAACTTCACCACAGGCAAGGGTAAGGTGAACCTGGGAGATTCCAATGTCCGTCCTCTTGAGGTGTTCATGTGCAGCATTGTCCGCAAGATGGGTTATGGAGATGGTTTTAAGTGGCTCTCACAGTACATTAAGTAAAGAGCAATAGAGGAGTTAAGGTCTTGTATACTGAAACGAAGAGACAACTTGTTTTGGAAAGCGTTATTATTTGTACAAGTTAGAAACTTGTTTGTTTTTTTCCTATCTTCTATTTGAAATATCAGAGGATATGTAGCACTGTGATTAATGGTTTTGGTAGTTGATGATCTGTGGTATTCATATCAATGGAAGGATGATGCCGAAAACTTTCTGAAACCCATTTGACTGTTTAATTACTGTTATTAACAAAATATTATGTTTCTTTTTAAACTTGATCAATGTTTGGTTAACTCCTCTGGGAGGAAAAAACACTTGCATACGCATACCTTTTTTTTTTTGGTGGTGGATTACCTACTAAAGTGTCAAAGCATGAGGTGCCGCCAGAATTATCAAATTTATTATTCTATTCTGCTGGGTTACCGAGTTTTACTTTATATGGGATAAAGCTATATTTTTGAGGAAGACAATGGATGCAATTGAACAACAGGAGTACTGCTGGTGACCGTGAGCTAGAGAAACTGATGCTAATTGCTTGACAATCTTCTAGACTTTGTCCAAAGTAAGACCTGTTTTTGTTTTCTTTAACAAGTATTAAACTGCAAAGAAAAATAAGAAAATTTTAACTTGCTGGATAAATTGTCTCTATTCATTTGGTGGGTTCTTATTTAATAGCCAAAAGGAAAAAAAAAATCCATAATTTGTCGATGTTTCGTGATACTTGATTTTTGAGTCGGGTGATAACTTTACATTTTCACGAAAATAGAAATTGAAAGTTCGATTTTTGACTAGTACATGAATAAATATACACTATGTTCTGCTAAAAAAACACGAATGATTTGTGGAAAGTGTTAAAAATTTGTTGTTCGTTTGTAATCGAAATTATGAGCTACAAAAACATTAAATTAGTCATTAGGTTTTTTTCTTTTTCCCCTTTCTGTAGATGCATATTAGATATCCAGTTTTTGTACAAATAGGCAACTGAGTACTCAAAACGTTTTTATTTTATTTGCTTCAAAGAAATTAAATTTTTTAATCTTAATTAATTTAGATTTATTTACAAGTAGTTGATAAAATAAAATATTAGCAAAAGCATAAACAAAAGGGTCTGTAACTCAGATGGTTTAGAGAGGTACCTACAGGTACTAATGCCCTGCATCTCCACAATTTTTCAACTTTCATTGCCAGCACCTTTTTTTAAGTGCAGACTGGTGGCTTAGTTTACCAACTTCATTCATGTTTTTCAGCCCTCAGCATCATCATCATCAAAACTGAATGTCGCTCACCAGCCTCGTCTTCCGAGTCTTACCCACCACTAGTTTATTTTCATTATATATGGTGTTATGCTTTTAGCTTTACTCTTCTTGTCAACCAAATGCCATAATTTTTTAAGGCTTCCACTTCTCAAGATATCCAACTACTCCTGCTTGCACTTGTAACAACTTCTTACATTTCCATTTATGGCAGCTGCTTCATTTTTAAAGAATCTCATACCCTTCGTTTTCGCTCTCACCTTCACTACCATCTTTTGCAGCCAACCACTCTCAGGTTCTTTTCCTTATTCATTTTCTGTTTTTTTCTTTCTCCCCATAAATATAATTGTGTTTTAGTGGCAAATGTTAACAGGGTATTCGGAAGATGTTCCGGGAGAACGAATTGCTAAAGCCTTATTTTGTTTCGACAATCACTTTGTAAGTAAAATATGAGTTTCTGCGGGATTACGGAATAATAAAGTTGAACTGATAACATTCTATCATTTCAATTATATATGATGTTTTTTGTCATAATATATCTCTTCCTTTGCTCGGGAGATAACAGATTTACAGTGAGTGTGAGAAGGAATACAGACTGAATGAGAGTGGGAATCTGAACGTACCTTTTGCAGCAAATAACATCTTCTGTAACGGACCGTGTTTGGTTGAGACACAGTTGGTGCTTAATTGTGTCGACAATATTTTGTCCAACTTCTTGTTCTATAACAAGGCCACTGTTAGGGACCTCAGAAATACAGTTCGTGCGGGCTGCAGCTTCACCAGCAGAAGAGGTAACACCGCATATATATATTGTCTTCTGACTTCAAATCAGGTTTTCTTCTGAGAGTTAAAAATCAAAAGTTGTTAGTACAGGATACCATTTTAAGTAAATTCTTAAATCTTTTGTCACTTCAAGAAGTAAGATTATGTTTAATTATAATGATACCTAGACCAATATCAGAAGAGAAGTTTGTAAATATGCAGTGGACGAGTATAAATCTACTGATATAGTTGGTACATATATACAATGTTTGTAACCAAGGTCAAATGTATATAGATTTGCTTAATGGGTCTGTTTTAAATATTACGTTCTTATATTTGAGCTTATGTTAACATGTAATTGTTTTACATTTTGGCAGGAAACTTCAATGTGGGAAATTATTTGCAAGGTGAAATCAGCAGAGGAAATGCATTGAGCTTACCGAATTCGATCAGATTATTTGCTTCTGCAATCGTTATAACTGGAGTTTTATTGATATTACCAGTCTGATCACAGAAATCTATTGTCCAAATGTGTTAGAAAAGAAAACGACAGCACTTTATACAGCAACCGTAACAAATTTGAATACCTAAAGAAGGTTTAACTCAAGTTTTGATATATTTTATTGAATTCTATTACTGGTATTTAATAAGTTCTTAAATTTGATCAGATTCTATAATTCATGCATTAAGGTAACTAATCGCGTTATCTTTTTCTTCAATATAAGCTGCTAAAAAGACTACGAGAGACATGATGCATTCGCAATAATATAAGTAGATTATGAAAGGGACATATTTATTAACTTGCAAAAAACACCAAGGAGCAAAATCCAAGTCTATAGACTACTAACATGAGACAGTGAACTCCAACCTAACAGAAACCTTAAAACAACCTTACATGGACTTGAATTCCTAACTTTATAATTTCGGTCTTGACTTTTTCTTTTTCTTCAACCTCTTCCATCTTCTGCAAATCAATCTTCATTTAAATGATTCTGCAAATCAATTCCTAGAATTCCCATATAGAGGAATATATATTTCAACTACTGAAAGATGATGGTCCAGAGGGTCCAGAAAGCCAATGTTCAAGAGTAAAGCATCTTTTCATAAGTAACGAAGATCATGTTAGATCAATTCAATCATAATTTTGAAGAATATGTCACCAAAGTCACATATAAAGATGGAAACAAATTTTACACGTTCTGGTTCAAGTATCAAGAACATATTCAGTTTATTCTCTCAACAGATATTACTCTGTTTAGCAATAAACTATTAGAATTATTAGACTTGGCTGTTGAATTGAGATCTTATTATAACTCAAATCCTGGTAATGGCTTGATTCTTCCCGGCTGTACATCACCACAAATGGCCTACGCTAGTCAAACATAAAACATCATTAGCAATGAATACATGATTCAGTACAGATGGTTAACCTAACATCGAACTGAAAGTATATTATCAAATGTGTTGTGAAAAGCTTTATGCACACAAAGAATCTGAATCAATCTGCAGACTGCAAGAACCTGATTTCTTATTTCCTCAAGTCATAATAAAATATGCTTCCTATGATTTGTCCAAGCATTGTTGAGACTGTCATCAAAGACCTTGTTTTGTCATGGCCAAAATCAACTAAAAGGCCAAGTAGCTCAGCACTTTCTGCAACCTGAAATCTCAGGGTTCTGCATGACTTATATGTTCTAGAACTGTTTGTCATCCATTTTTGAGATTAAGCAAAGCTCATCCGGGCACGAGCATCTCTTGTCAAAACAAATATTTCATGATCACCCAACTGAACTTTGTTCAATTGCTTTCTTGACACTCTTTTCCCTAATTCATTCTTGAGATTAAGCGAAGTTCATTTTGAGAATAAGGATGTCCTTCAAAACAAATATTTTGTGATCACCCAATTGCACTTTGTCCGATTGCTTTCTTGACACTCTTTTCCTTCATCAACCCTCTTACCTTCTCCACTTCAGCCCACCTACCTTCTTCTGCATAGATATTCGACAGCAACACATAAGTACCAGAATTCCACGGTTCCTGGTGGGTGATTAACTCCTTAACTGCAACTTCCGCAATCTCAACATCACCATGATTACGGCAAGCACCGAGCAATGCACCCCACATAGCAGCATTAGGCACCATGGGCATTCTCCTAAGCAAGTCATAAGCATCTCTCACTTGTCCACCACGTGCAAGGAGATCAACCATACATCCATAATGTTCAAGCTTTGGGTCAAGACCATGATTTGCAGTCATCAAAGCAAACAGCTCCTGTCCTTTCTTTATCAATCCTGCATGAGCACAACATGCTAGAACCCCAACAAAAGTTGCATCATTAGGGATCATGCCGCTGTCAATCATCTCCTCAAACAAGTCGACCCCTAATTGACCCTTCCCATTAAATGCCAAACCTGCAATCATTGAATTCCAAGAAACCACGTTCTTATGGCATATCCCATTAAACACCCTTGTAGCACCTTCCAAATCTCCGCACTTGCAATAAAAATCCACCAGTGCGTTACCAACCGGGACTGAATCTGGATAGATTGCACTTGATTCAGCATAATGGTGGATAGATAGCCCAATATCAACAGCCCCCAAACGAGCACAAACAGGCAACACAGACACCAAAGTTGCCTCGTCTGGTTCAAATCCCTCACTCCTCATTTCATGAAAAAGCTCTAAAGCTTCATCTTCCCTCCCACTTCGTGCCAAGCAAGAAATCATTGAATTCCACGACACGACACTTCTCTCACTCATCTTCCTAAACAGAGACAACCCAGTATCAACATCCCCTCCCTTGCAAAACCCGTGAATGATCAAATTCCAAATGATGATATCTCTGTCACGCACTTCATCAAACACCTTCATCGCATCCTCCATCCACCCATACGCAGCGTACAGTTCCACAACCCCAACTCTTATCGACCCAAAAGACTCAAACCCGACTCTGATAACCTCCCCATGAACACATTGACCGGGCCGGACGTCCCAAAGACCCGAACACGACTTGAGTAGTGGCGCAAAAGTGTACTCATCGGGCCAGATGCCGCGACCCTTCATGCAAGAGAACAAGAGGAGAGACTCCTGACAGGGACCGCTAAGGGAGTACCCTTTAATCATGGCATTGAAGAGAAGAATGTTGGGATTGTGGGTTTGGGAAAAGACCCGATTGGCGTAGTCCAACTTGCGGGCAGCACCGCAAACAGAGACGAAGTGGGCGAGGATTAGGTTGGAGTTGTGTAGCCCGTGGCGGAGGAACCGAGCGTGAATTTGATGTAGTTGAACAAGGGTATTGCGTCCGTGTAGGAGGCGAAGAATCTTCCGCTCCATATGTTGGCAAGCTCTGCTCATGTTCTATCTTTCTCTTCAATTAACACGGTTTATTATGACATTACGACTACTAAATTTTATAATTATAACGATTGAATTTGTCTTGAAAATTAATGTTTCAAAATATAAATAAAAAACATAATTATAACGAAAATTCAAAATAAAAATAATATTTTACTTCGAAGTTATTTTTTTTTTTTAATTTAAAAATTTGTAAACTCTGTACTTAGAAATTAAAAATACAAAATCTTTCAGTCAGGTCATTCGCATTCGCAGAGGAATGAATTGCAAGGTTATTCAAATCCAAGGCAGAGAAGCAAAGAAATGCATTTGGAACTGTCTCTGTGCAAGTTCAGCAGCGTATGATATAATAGCTCCTCCCTTTTTCTTAATCTATTGATATCAAACAAATCAGAAATGTTACAAGTTACCTCCCTCCCACTCATGGAAGAAACCTAAAATCTACCTGTTCCTCCAATAAATTCTCACTCTCTCTTCAACAAACAAGGCTTCAACTATAACAAACGTGCTTCATTCATTCGGAGAAAAGAGTAGATCAAACATGATCATTTTTTGGATGTTCGGAAGCCCCCGAATCCCATCATTTCTGCAACATCTGGATCTATTTCAGGTTCCTCCTCAGCTGCCTTCTCTTTCTGATGCAAAATATACTTTGAACAATCAACCAAAACAAACTAGCGTGATAAAAGACTGATAAAGTAATCAAATGGATAATCTTTTAGGTACTTTACGTGCTTAAAGATGGTATTTATTTTTCCTTGGGGAAGGAAAAAACTAGTTTGGATATTACTGTCTAATATTAATGATGCAAGTTTCCTAGAAAATAATTATTCAACAAATACAAGGAACTGACAACTGACCTTCTTCTCTTTCTTTCTCTCCCGACGTTGTCGTTTTCGTTCTTCTTCTTCTTCTTGCTGCTTTAGGATCCTCTCATCAAGATCTGAGACGCAAAAGAAATAGACAGAGAAAGGGTTTTGTACCATATGATAACTTAAGTGTAGAATTTTTTTTTATCATCCTATCTAAGGCTTACCCTGCTCTGTGAAACTTCCAGGTTCTTTCCTTTTCTTGAGAAGTTCAAATCTCTCCTGAACCTGAATTCATTAAGAAAATATGAAGTCTTCTATCATACTGGCAATATATATATATATATACACATATATACTCATGAAAACATACTATGGAAACCGCGTACTATTTTGCCTAACAATCCCATATCGATTCTCACAAATACAAGAGATTGCATTTTTCCCATTTGACGATGACTGATGAGTATATTGAAAACCCTCCTATATCTATAAAAGATTAATATCCCAGAATCTACCTGCTTAAGAGATGCCCGCTCTACTCGCATGGACATACCCAATGCTCTTTGATCTGTGAAACAAGACCAATAGGGCCATTACATGACTGAAACAGGGAATGTGCAAATACATGAATGGGTGCACATAAAAGTCAATAACACACGTGTTGGTAAATGATTACATACGTTTCTTTCCATTGATGTGATCCAGATAATTAGCAGAATCCTTCACTACACACTCACAAACTGAACAATAATATCCAGCCTGCAAAAAGAGAAACACTAATTTATAACCACATGCTAGTGCCAATTGAAATGTTAAGAATAGAAGAATAACAAAAAGAAATTAAAAAAAAGGTGTCTAATTGGGGTTACGTTTTTAGATTATAATATTACTACAATACATGGCAACAATTATATTTCCAAGATTAAAAAGTTATAAAAATCATAGGTTAAACTAAACAGGGAGGACTGAGGTACAATTAAAAGCAAATTCACCCAGCTGAGCTGTTAAATGTAACCATTAACTCAGAAATCAGTCAATCACGCAGCCCAACGTATTCGGGTACTCAGTAGAAACCACTCAGCAAAAATTTAACAAGATGGAGTATGGGGTCAGTGACAATTCTTGTTATAACTTTCACTTAAATTCTAATCACATATTATGGGATCATTATCATAGGTACAATCAGGAAGTAAAACTACAAAATCAAGAACTGAATGATAAGTAAGGCAGAGATGAGAACACAGCAGGAGAGCATACCTGCTGACTCAAAGGTGCTACAGGTGTAACGACCTGCGAAGATCATATAAACTGAAGTACGTGAATAAACTGTAACATGCCGCAAGAAATAAAAATTTGCATTCATAAACCATGATATACCATAAGATCGTTTGAATATGGTAATTCAATAACTAGCTTAGTATGAAAAAGATGTTTGACCAAAAGCACATGATGAATTTAAATATGTAGTGACGCAGAAGAGACAGAAAAAGCAAAGCTTCAATCCATGTGAACAGAAAAACTGAAATTTAGAGTTCTTAGATTTGGATTTTCTAATATATTTACCAGATAAATGCAAGTAGCAGCTCAAGTCTACAAAAAAGAAGCTTCAAGAATTAGTCATCAAAATTTCTTCTTGAGGATTAAACAACCCTTTGCATAAAGCAAACTAGGGCTGGAAGGCATGCACCAAGTTATTACTGCTAAAATCAATCTTCCAATATACTAGAGGCATTGCATAATCATTGTCATCGATACAACCAATCAATGTAAATGAGTTTTGGTACTAGTCAGAAATCCATCAGGTAAATAGTGTGCTAAAGTAGACAGCAAAATGAAAATCAAGCAACTCACCTGAGTTTTACCCAAGCGAGATTCAAGGTCTACTTCATAATCCCTATGTTTCAAGGGTTTTCTCTGCACTGGGGGACCTTTGGCTGCACAAAATATAAGCATCCAAATACTCAACTCTACCAAACTATCAAAGCTAACTACCAAGATAAAGTGAAAAAGTAAAAGAAAGAGCTACCAGATAGATTTTGTGTTCAAAACAATAATAATGATGTTCACAATTCTGTTTTACTAAGTATTAACGGAAAAAGAATTTGAATAAATCAACTTACATTTGGATTTAGACCGAGATTCCGATTCCTGAAGCATAACTCAAACCAACAAGCACAATCAGCTGAAATGAATTGCTGAAAAAACAAAAATTAAAAAGAGGAAAAGATTTTGAAGAAACTAACCTGTCTTTCGCGCTCGCGTGCGCGTTCTAAATACTCTTCTCGATCAAATTTTCTTCTAAAAGTGTTATCGACCCCAGCAGCCTATACATTAAAGATAGAAGTAAATCTTAAACTAGTATTGCCTTCGGCGTATTTTCTCGGGAAACGAACAGAAAAATATGTACTCACATTGTTGCTGGCAGCCATTGGTAATGGAAATCTTAAAACTATAACAGTTTAGAGGAAGCTTGGTATCGATTCAACCAAAACAGAGATGACTTGCTAATTATCAACGTCCAGATAACAAAACCTAAAAGCTCTACTCCATTTCAGCTCAATGAAGATGAACCAGGACAAATAAAAAAATTGGGGGGATTTGTCCTCTCCCTAAAACGGCGCTTCCCGTGATCGTTTTGTAGAATCAAAAATGGAAATTGAAGTAGCAAGACCCGGGCGTTTGGTCCAGTGGTATGATTCTCGCTTCGGGTGCGAGAGGTCCCGAGTTCGATTCTCGGAACGCCCCAATATTACTTTTTCACGACAAGAGTTACACTAACTGGTACTGTGTCGACTGAAATACGGCGTCGTACCTGATTTATCTGATTCAGTGAAACGACGAACAAACATTATATTGACCATGAAGCGACGTGACACCTTCGCCAAACTTCCTTGCTAACAACTCTCATGAACATTTTTGTTCCATAAAACTATTGCTCTATTGAGAGAGAGAGAGAGAGAGAGGAGAAGGGAAGCAGATGAATAGCGAATCAGTATTAAGAAAGCAAAGAAGTAAATAATGTTGAGCTCCAATCTTTTTTCGTTAGTAACAGCCCCTTGACTTAGTCGCTTCCTCGGTTTTAACAGAAGATATCGTTTTTCACCGAACAAAACTTCGAGAAGGAGGTCAGAAAAGATCACGGCGCTCCCGTCGAGTTCTATGCTCCCTGGTAGTTATCTCTTTCTCTCTGTTTTTTCCTATTTAATTTTCGAGCAATAAGGGAAACGAAGGAAGTTTTAATCCTACAATTTAATACATTATGTATGTATTACATCCATTCATTTGTATGGCCATATATCGGATTTACATGAACTCGCTTATGCGTTGATGTAAATTAAGTTTGTAGTCTTATAATTTTAATAGGTATATTTATGTATGTAAAAACCATTCATGTATATGTTGTATATGGACTGTGAATTTTGGATCTATATCTCCTTGTTACTGTGTCTGTTGTGTGTGTGTGTGTGTGTGTGTGTGTGTGTGTGTGTGTGTGTGTGTGTGTGTGTGTGCGTGTGTGTGTGTAATCAATATCTTGATGCTTAAAAGATCAGTCTGGAGCTAGGTTTGGATCTTATGAGTACGGTTGAGATACTTAGTACTGAACTTTTATTTACTCCTAAAATTTAATATATTATGTATGTATTATATCTATTCATTTGTATGTCCATATATCAGATTTACATGAACTCGCTCTTATAATTTTATAGGTATATTTATGTATGTAAAAATCATTCATGTGTGTGTTATATATGGAATATGAATTTTGGATCTATATCTCCTTGGTTCTGTGTTTGTAGTGTGTGTGTGTGTGTGTGTGTGTGTGTGTGTGTGTGTGTGTGTGTGTGTGTGTGTGTGTGTGTGTATAACCAATACCTTGATGTTTAAAAGATCATTCTGGAGCTAGGTTTCAATCTCATGAGTATGGTTGAGATACTTAGTGCTGACTATTTGTTTACCCTTACAACGTGCTATGCTAAATAATGAGTAAAAGTGTTTTGGTACTTTAGCTGCGTTCTTGTTTTCAATTTGTTTAAAAATAACGTACATTGTTGTACACTTCTTTCTTATTCTGATTTTAAGTTGCTGATACTTGGTTTTTAAGCTCTCTAAAGACAAGATTCAATGCAGGAACTAGCTTTCCAAGAATAATAGAGGTAGCATGTTTCTGTCTATGCTAAAAAATTTGCTGTAGAAATTGTTTGATATGGCACTTGGTGTGGACACTGTAAAAGGCTCATGTTCCCAAGAACAACATGCAGCACCAGGAATTGTCTTTTTATTTTCTTCACTGTAGGCGTGGACACTGTAAAAGGCTTGTCGCAGAGTATTAGAAGCTTGGTATGAGTATCTGGAAGGCAAAGCCTGTTTTAATTGGAAAGATCAGCTGTTTGGCAGTGTTCTAGTATTGATTTTCATGGTTTCTTGTTTATTATATCAATTATCAATTATCACCTCAGAAATTTATTTTCATGAGTTGAAATTGATTTATATAATGTATCGCTGTTGTTATTTTCTCCTGCAAATCGACCGTTGAAAATATGTATCCTTCTTGAGTACACATATGGCTTATATGAGAAAGCTTTCCTGTTTGCCCATATTGTCACTCTAGATGGCCTCTGGTTAGATAGCTTAGTAAGCATCAGGTTGTGCTGGGTATAGGTGAACTTTAGTGAGCAAAAAAGCTTGTGCAGCTTTCTGAATATCCCACCATTCAATTGTTTCCTAGAGGTTCTTTGCCACCAAAAAAGCAAGTGCAGGCTAATCTCTTGGATGGTTAAAATTGGATTTATCTGGCACTGATTCTCAATAAAAGATATTCTTATCTGCTCCTAACACTTATCCAAAGTAATGTTTTTAACTAGTGCTCCTGTATCTTTTAGGTATCAAGGTGCATATACTGCTGAAGCCCTTGTGGTCGTAAATTCTGAGAGGGATCATATAGTCTTTTAAGAAGTTATACGGTAGATATTGATGTTCTAGATTGATATTTGGTTGCTATTTCATTTCCTATCAATGAGTATTTTGAGTATCGTGGATGAAGTTCATGGGAATTTCTTGACAACTTGGCATTTGGCCATTTAGTAGTGTTTTGGATTTTTTTCGGGGGGAAACAATTGGAGGAATGAAAAGTAATGATATTTGATCTATTGTTTAGTTACTTCATTACTGTATGCAAAATAATTGTTGTCCACATAAGTCATTACTCATTTGAATGAGGAATGACTTAGTGTTAAGCATTCTCTCAACTTGAGAGCTATTTTATTGATCATTCAAAACTTGGGTCAGTGGGTGGGCCAGTGGGACTTCATTTGAAGTTCTCATTTTCTATGTTATGTTTAGATATTGTGGAATAAAGCTGTTATAGTCATTTGGTGAACAGCTTTAGGATATCTTCAGTCAATATTTAGGTGGACTTGAAATCCGGCTTCATATGCTGGAACAAACGTGACAATAGGTACAATGCCAAGAATAGTGGTACTAACACCAGAGAATTTTGATGCTGTTGTCCTGGATGAAACCAAAGATGTTCTGTTTGAGTTCTATGCTCCAGAATTAAATTTCAAACCTGATATTGATTGTCTCTATAATTCTCTCTTTAGATTTTAAGAACTTAGGTAGATAAAATAAAAAATAAAAATAGTCAAAATGATCCTTATATCTTCATAAAATGTGCTCCATTTCAACTTGGGAAGTTATGGAGAAAAGGCCCTGTAATCAACTTGTTCAGAGCCTTTGTTTGGGCATTATACAAGTCCCGAAGGCCATTCAAACATGCATTCATTAATATCTGTAATTAAGCTTGTTAGTAAACCACTGGCTCTAAATCATTTCTCCCTTTTTTGATATGCAGGTGTGGCCATTGCATGCAACTTGCTCTAGTTAGCAAATGTTTTTTGTAATGATCAAGGTACTTTTATTGCAGATTTTCTTCTTGAGAAGTTATGAAGAAAAGGCCCTGTAATCAACTTGTTCAGAGCCTTTGTTTGGGCATTATACAAGTCCCGAAGGCCATTCAAACATGCATTCATTAATATCTGTAATTAAGCATGTTAGTAAACCACTGGCTCTAAATCATTTCTCCCTTTTTTGATATGCAGGTGTGGCCATTGCACGCAACTTGCTTCAGTTAGCAAATGTTTTTTTGTAATGATCAAGGTACTTTTATTGCAGATTTGCACATTTGGCCAGAATGTAACTCAGTCTCTAATTATGATTCTATTTCCTTAAATGAAGACCTATGAAAAGATTGCAACAGTATTTAAGCTGGAGGAAAGAGCAGTGATTGATAATCTTGATGCTGAAAATACAAGGATTTTGCTGAAAAGTGAGTCCAGTGATATTTTAGAAATCTTATTATTGTGTAGCATGGACTGTGTTTGGCAAATTTAAGATTGTTGTTGCCTATATATTACTTTACAGAATGATCTCTGCATTGTACCTTTGATAGAAGTGGAAAATAACAGTTTTTTCTAAGACAAATGTGGTTGCAGGTATAATGTGAGTTGGTATCCCACTAAAAAATTCTTTCCAAGTAATAAGAAACCTGGTGAAGATTACTGGTGTAAGAGACTCGGAGAATTTGGTAAATTTCATAAATGAGAAATGTGGCACAAGCTGTGATGCAAGAGAGAATCTCACTTCAAACGTTAGTTGTTCATATGTTTTTACAGATTGGCTGTTGTTTTATTGTAGACTGGTATTGTGGCATCTTTGAACAGCTTTGTTAAGGAGTTTTCAAGTGCTAGCAACAAGAGAAGAATTCAGTACTTCGCCCTGATGGAGGAAGAAATTGGGATGCTTAAGCGGACCTCTGCAAGGTCAACAATCTTTTTTTATCTAGCGTCTGATTCCTCAGGGGAACCTTTTGCTTCTCAATTATCTTTTATTCCATCTTTCGTTTGGATAGCTGATGGTATTCAAATATGCATAGCCCTTCCTTTCTATGATAGGGGGCTAAAATTTTGTGAAAGATAAAACTCTCAGAAACTTAATTATATCTTTCATTTTTGCCCGTCATATTTTTTACCCAGATATTTGTTTTTTTATGGGTAGATCTGCTTGAAAACTGGTAAAGAACTTATGGAGAAAGGTGCGTATTATGCCAATGATGAAAGAGGCTTGAACGAGTGAATGCTTGACAAGGTAGATTATTTGACCATATATTATTGTCAATTGGTATGAAGACTTTTTTTAAGCCATTTATTGGTGAAAAATTATACAAAACTTCAGTTTTTACTTGTGCCAAAGAGCTTGCAGTAGCATACTGACAATATTTAATACACACTACGTGGGACTAATTCTCTCTCGGAGATGTGACTATCACTAGAAATTTAAAAGACTGGGAGTTGGAATATGAAAAACTGCTACAGCTTCTGGCCAATATCAAACTGAGTACTGAAGCAGACAAATTAAACTGCAATATGTGTAAAAATGGTGTTTTTTCTGACAAATCACTCTATATATCTTCGGCGGACGGTACTGATTTTATTCCTGTCTTCCCCTATAAAATTATATGGAATTCTCATATCCCACCTAGAATCTCTGTCTTTGCATAGGAAGCTGCTTTGGGTTGTATTCCTACTCTTGACAATCTCATGAAAAGAAGCTTTGCTTTGGCCAACTGGTGTGTACCGTGCAGGCAAAATCTTGAGTCCTGCAACCATCTTCTAGCGTGCTCACTCTCTTATGATCTCTGGACAATGATTTATAAGTTGCTTCGTATTTTTTGAATTATTTCTGAATCGGTTGAAGGCAAATTGTTAGCTTGAAAAGAATTCAAGGCGATTAACAAATGACAGAGTTATTCCCCTGACAATTTTATGGATTATATTGAAAGAAATGAATTCTAAGATTTTTTAGGGTAAAAAACTAATTTGCCGGTTTCAATTTTTTTAGTTCTATTGTCCTAAGGTACAACCTTGATTCTTTTAAAGATTTAGGATCTATTGTAAATATACTCATAAATATGTAAAAAAAAATTTTGTATGTGGGTTACGCCCTCTTGGCATTGTCAATTTATATATATCAATCACTTTTATCTCAGAAAAAAAAAACACTACGTTGGATTACTAATATTTGTCCTTTCCACTGTCAGTGCAGTCAACCAAAGCAGCGAAGGCAGATGAATTCACTCTCAAGAAGAACATCCTGTGTATCTTTGCATGATTACTGGATGTAGTCACATCCCTCTGCTAATGGGCCCCTCTTCATGGAGTTTCATCTTCCGCGGCTGTCTACGCCTGACTAAAAAGCGATTAGGTGAGTTCCAAGACCAGTTCTTCTGTAACAACTTTTTTCTCCCATAAAACAATTATAAGAACTTTATACTTGGCGACAGTGCTGCTCCTTTTGACATGAAAAATCCTATTAGCATTAAGTCATTAGACCATGCTGGATTGAGTTGAGTAAGCGAAGTTAGGAGCATGTTAGTGGTTTGCTGTGCGTAAATGGATGTAGGCCCTCCTAAAATTCTCTCAGGCATGAACTCCGCATGCGCTTGTTCCTGTTATAGATCTACTATTACTACTACAAGTTAAGCTATCTAAATTGTACATTACTATTTTTGTGACAGTTTTTTTTTTAAAACCATGTTAATTATCTTCGGAAATTATACGCACTTGTTTCAGCTTGGTGAGTATGTCTGGTTTCCAGTCTACACCTTACCCAGAAATGACGAGTTTACAAATCCAATACTATACATTTGTTGCTTAATGGTGAAAAGATTCAGATGCTTGTATGGTATAGATGAGTGCTCGCCGTCCATCTTTAATGTCATCTCTTCATTACCAACAAGGAACAGGTGTGCCATTTGGCCAACTTATTCCCACTTAGCCAGCCAGCAATATGAATAAACAAAAAGGGTGCTTCCGCTCCTCCTCCTCTCCTTCTTAGTTCCTAGTGCTCATCTTTTTTAAAGCCCCAAAATCTGGTGTGAATCTAGGAAACTCGAGTCAACAAAAGATCCATTAATCACACGGCAAGAGCTTCTTACCTTTGGCAGGTCTTTGTAACAGAAAATTTCCCCCTGGCTTCTTGTTTACATCCAATGGAAATTGTTTTTGTTTAAGAATGGAATTTGATAGATGCTAAAAGCCAGGGAATACGGAAATGTGGTCTCCATAAAATAATAATTCTATTTTTTTCCAACTATTCTAGTGAGTGATATGGGAGATTCATAAACAAAAATAATGCATACATATATATATATATATACAATATTACCAGTAATGTTTATTCTCTTAAGCTGCTCTTTAGACCATTCAATGATAATCTAGTTATACCATTTAATGATAATCTAATTATTTTAATTTTTTTATTTAAAAAAATTAAACATTTGAAATAAATGGAAAATATTAAAGATTATATTGTAACTAAAAATATTTTATGTGTTTCTGGAGGTGTTAACTAGTTTAACCTAAAAAAAATAATTATAAATCTTGAGTTCTGAATATAAGTTTATGTGCGAGTGTACATATATATATGTATATATGTTTGTGTGTGCCAGTAGTTTATTTTTGGAACTAAATAGTCTTAAGTTTCTTATATAAACATTTTATTTTTCAAGATAGAAAACAATAAAGCTGCATGTGGTTCAATTTTTATTCTATATCCATTTGTCTCTCTTTAGTTTTTTTATATTTACTGTAAACATGTCAAAATATATGCTTTGTTTGATCCCATTCTCACCCTCTTGAATTCCTATTCATAAGAATCAATTCTCATTTTAGTTCCTAAGAATTGAATTTTGATGACCCAAAAAAATTTAAGAAGAGTGGAGTGATATTAAACATATATATCATGTTTTAATCCTCAGTATCTTTAGGAGGTTGAAATTAAGTGAAAATGGGATATGAACTAAATTAAAGGCAAATAGCTGCTATTATTCTAGGCAGATTGTTGATGGATAGATTGTGATGGGAGTTGTGTGAGATTAGAAATGTCACATATCTGCCACTTACTACTTGAAAATGGTCCTTGGATGACATAGGAATTGGATACCAGGCAAGGCCACGAGCAATAATGAAGCTGGGGACCATGGTATTGTCTTGCCAACACGTATACATTTAATTGTGTCACAGAGATTGATGGAGGTACTTGGGAACCTGACATCAGCTCCTGGTGATTGCAACGAAGGTACTTCTCAATTGCTTCTGGTAGATCCTCACTTTATCTCCTTTTAATTACCGTGATGAGATGTCTTTTGGGTTAAAAAAATATATAATTTGCTTGATTGTTGTCTCTTACATTTTCATGGAGGACTGAAGAGGCCATGAAACTGTGTGTGTATATAATATATTTATGGAGAGAATAATCATAATCATAAAAAAGAAAGAAAGTCCCAAGAGAGAAGAAGCCAAAAAGAAATGAATCCGATAGGGATATGTAAGATGTATTAACCACAAATCTACCACAAGTCCTTGTCTAATAATCTCCACACTACTTTATGTCAATGTTTCATGATCTTCTTTATGTCAATGTCTAGGGGACACCATACCCAATATAATATAATATAAAGATTTCAAGCCCTCAATCGCAACTCAAAATCTATAGATCTACCTAATTCTATTGGTCCAAATGAAAATTAAATAAGTTTTTGGCTAAGTAGTCTTACTTTCTTTTAATCACAGATATATGTTCAATTTAAATAAAACATTTTAATTCTATTTATATTATAATTATGTTAAAAAGTTACACAACTGTTCCTATCTGAACTAATAACAAAGAAAAAACTTTGATGTTAGTTTCATGTGCATCCCTGCTATCCAAAACAGTTTTAGGGAAGATATAACCAAATTCACACGCTTCATAAGCCACATAATGCAATTGCGGGCCACCAATGTGGTACACTCGTGCAATTGTGGAAGTCCTCGGCTACCTAACGCAACAGGATATATGCCTTGAAATCATGTTATCGCCTCAATAATCAAGTTCTAAGATACCTATGCTTGGTGTTTCACAAATATGTTTTGAGTTTGAGAGCTTATAGTGTAATTCCTCTGGAAATTAGAGCAAGAACCATGCAATTTCATGGTTTGTGAGTTTCTTTGGTTAGACTAAAAAAATTCTGCCAACTTACCATAATTTTTTTTGTCTTTTGATCTAACAGTGAGTTTCCTGTAGGCTGAGAATGGAGATTAAGCAATAAATTCTTCATTTTACCTGGCAAACTGTATAAAGCCAGCTACTGGAGAGTTGTCAGGTTGAGTGGTGAGTACCCACCAAAATGACCCCCACCAAGAAATATAGCTTTCGTGAGAATGTTTACATTCACACAGCTTAAAACAATCCGACTCATTTAAGGATCTTTAACAGATAAAGAAAGAAACATTAACAAACCAGAGCAGATATAGGAGGAAATCTGCATTTTTTTTTTTTAGATTCTTTCATATAGTTATACAAGCAATATAACAGGCAACCGGGATCAAACCCATCAATGAAGAGAACTTCTCTTTTCAAGTGTCAAAAGAGAAGACCCGTCAAATAACTACATGCATTTAACCTTGAAAAAAACTGAGAATCAAGAAAAAAAATATAATGGTATCTGTACAGTTTTCTTTGAAACCCCATCAGGGAATTTCATTTTTATCTGGAAGAAACAGGATTCAGAGCTCTAGTAAATCCATTCATGGCACCATACCCCTTTGAACTAAACCCCAAGCACCCAAGCAATCCTTGCCTGTAAGGCAAGTAAGTTTTCTTCCTCAGTTCTTCAGCTTGAGCTCTATTTGCTGTGTAATGCAGCTCGTGTGGTGACGGCGGTATCCTCCTCTTCCCTATCCCATTTACAGGCTTGTTCTTTCCGGACACCTTAGCCTTCTGATTCTCGGACCCTGCCAAACCAGATGCAGTAGAACTGTTCAACTTCTCTTTAGAAACAGAATCTTGAACGACGCCATGGGCGATTGGACTCAGAGGTTTCTTCTCTTTGCCGGGTGAAAACGAGATAGTAGACCAGAACTTGCTGTTACTACTCCTCCCTTCACTCTTGCTCCTGTAAAGAAAATCTTTCAAGAAAACCCATCTCTTCGAGCTCCTACCAGCTGAAGACGACCTTGAAGAACAACCAGAAACTGATGGAGTCGTCTCTTCAGACTGTACTTCCTCATGCTTGCCATCATCATTCTTGTCATCTTTTCTCTCTCTATGTTTATCATCTTCATTCCATTGATAGGCTACGGTGTTCCTTAAAGGAGACAGAGATCTAGTTCTTCTACGCAAAGATTTATCGCGTAGTCTCAGATCCCTGCCTCTGCTGCTCTGGTCAGCAACACTGCGTTCGTTCTCGTCTTCGTCATCCTCCTGGTCAAGATCCGGCAATGGAGCCAGCACCTGGGGCCTCTCCAAATGGGTCGAGAGCTTCATGGGTCGGATCTTCCCATCCAAGAATAGCTCATCAGCTGAACTCATTGGCCCCAGTATACCCGACCCTGTCATACCGAATCTCGCGGAAAACTCGAACTCATAACCATGAGGCACGGAGTTGTCGAAAGAGGGTGATTCACTTGGCGATGAAAGGGAAACTGAGGTCATTGCGAAGTGCATTGGGCTCGCCGGAGCACTGTAAAAAAACCCCCCGTTGACTGGTCCGGATGCCCGTCCGGGACTTGAAGGAGCACTGACATAAGGAGTGGAGCAACTACTGTCAATTTCTTCAGAGAAGAGAGGGGAATCTTGGGTGTTGCCACTGTTGGGGTCTTGTTTCGGGTCTTGGCTACCGTTGCGTGGAGCTCCGGGCTCCATTGTCTTGGTTTTCTATGCAACTACGAGTATCAAACTGAAGAAGAGAGCGCGAAGGCAGATGCGTATAGCTCTTCACACAGGGGGAGTAGCGTCGAGATGTGTTAATTATTTATATCATCAAATGCCACGTTGCCTTTTTACTGTCCGTACTTGGATAAAATATAAATCTTAAATTAAATATTCACAATATTATATTATACGAGAATGCAATCCAGTAAATTCTATACCATCTTACCATTATAATAATTGAAATAACAAGAAAAATAAAAATCTTATAATTATCCGAGAGAAGACTATTCAAGAACACGAAAAACAAGTTGTAAAACATTAAAAGTGCAGCAGTTCATGAATCTACAACCTGGCTAGAAGGTACAAGAGAAAGTCACCAGGAAGCCTGTAACATATTCCATTCATCTACATCACCATTCACCAACCAAGCAAGCAAGCAAGCCAGAGAATATATATATATATATATATATATATAGAAAAAGTCAATGGCTACCCATCACTCTTCTTTCAATACCCAGGGAGCTTAATGTTTCAACCACCTCCGCTCGTATAATAAAAATGGTTTCTTCTCCTCGTTAAAAGAATTAAAAGGGCTTCGTTTGTATTGAGAGAAGCGTTAGGGATCCAAATGGGAAACGGGAAAAGTTGGCCTTCTTAACTTATAATATACATATATTTATATTTTATAACATATATAATAATATATATATTTTTTTTTAACGAACTAAGAATAAATAAATTCTCGAATATTAAATCACACCACCTTTTTAAAATACTCTCAGCATGTGCATTTTATGATAAATTTGTACTATACTAATTTAGTGTGTAACATATATATATATATATAAAATCAAAGCCATATATAAATAACTGAAGGTACAGAAGAGAATATTGTTTGTGCTTAAAAGTAGGTACTGACACCTAATAAGCACAATGCACAATTATATTATCAAACAAATACCATTTAAACACAGTTACGTTAGCGACTGCTTGTCATGACTCGCCGAGTATTATCAGATCACACAAATGTCTCCACCGTAACATCTTCCTCTGTAATTTTGTACGCGACATTATCGTCGTCATCGATTCTACCCCATACACCTCCTCTCTATACGGCGTCACATGGCTTGTTTCTCATTGTCCTTTCCACATCAAACGTAGTACATCTTTTCTTCCTGGACTCTACAACCATCAAACATGGCTTTCCCTTAATTGTGATTCTGCCATTTAGAGTATACATATATATGTATATATATATATATATATAAATTTAGATTTGATATACCAACTCATACGGATGTGATGGCATTTTTCCTAAAAAGCAGCCGACAATAAGCCGCTAGAGATACTTAAATGTAAGAGAATTCTATCTTGAATTGGAGAAATTTTATATCAGTCCTTGAAATGGGAACTGTTAGTATTTAAGGGCATACATACACACACACACACACCTTGAAACTACAAAAGCTGTAAGCCATTTGCCCTCTTTCATAGGATCCTAGCTTTTTGGCAGCTGTTACGAGGAAAGTTAGGGTTCTTTGCACCTTATTAATCGTCACTAATTATTCTATTAATTAAGTTAATCACAATAAAGATAACATTATTAATAGACACTGCAGTACACAGTCTCTTTTCAGTTTTTCTCCCCTCTGAGTTCATTCTCCGAGAAAGAAGAATATTGGCATGGCACCCACATACATTTTGCTTGGTAATTGAGAAAATTGCTTCAACCAGTCACTAATCATACTTTTCCTTTGACAAATTAATATTGAAAATCATGAACTTGATTGTCCTCCATCGAGCTCCAAATGCCACATACTACTAGTATTGTTTTAGTTAATGATCATATCTTTATGAGCTTTTATACAAACAAGTTAAGTGAATATGTATATGTGAATAAATATTTATTTATTCACATATACATATTAACTTCTCCCAAATAATTAATATTTATACAATTTTTTTTTTGTGAGCTTAGGATCCAATAAACAGATATGGGTTGGCCCATTTTTACCCACCAAACACACCATCTTGTTGTTTAGTTCTTAAAAATCTCATGGGATGGGGCATGTGATGGTGGGTGTTGACAATTTGCCATAAGAAGCATAGTCTTTGACACAGCTTGTGATTTTCACTTGAAAAATCCAAGTTCATTCTTGCTAGATCACAATAACGTTTTAAAAAAAACCCATAAACCTATGTGAGCATATGCTTTTAAAGTTTTTTGAGAATATTTCATTTCAGTTTATTAATGTTAGTTCAAAAATCCCACTTACCAAAAGAAATAACTTCCTTATGAAAGCAATAATACATTTAGGGAACTCATTGATGTTTTAGTACCATAAGATGTAAACACCTTTGCTGTCTGTCGGTATGGTGTAGAGTTCGTAAGTATAAGAACTATAAATTTATCCACTTTGGATTATAGGTATAAACTTAAAAATATTGTTTTCATCTAAAATTTTCTCATTCACAAATTTAAAAAATTAGCATTTAAACCAAACACAGCCTAACAGTTCAGATTACATGATACTCTCCTGTCAAGGTGAATCTAAAGGCAATTCCTTTTCATACTTCCACTCATGGGCTTTCCATTCAGGCAGCTGCTGAATGACAACCTGCACTCACAGTTAAATACTTTCTTGTTACAGTTTCTGTTCATATAAAAACTTGGGTGAAGTAGAAATGATGGAAAGATCACAAACCAGGCCTCTGGAATCTGGTTTGCCAACTCTTGTTTGGCAAGCAAGTCTCCAGCTCTTTGGTTTCTACAAGGTAATATTTATTTGTAATTTTCCAAATGTAAAATTTGTCTAAAATAATTTTTACTCTAAATACTATATTTATTTCTGAATAAACAAAAAAATATATACATATATATATACATATTTTAAGATGAAGTGAGTGTAATTTTCTATTTTCTATTTTCCCAAAGAAAAAGATCATTTACCCTTTTGAGTATTTCCTTCTCTTTGTCCGTACGAGGGCTTAGAAGCTCTTTCCCATCTATAACCTACAAAAATTTCATTTGAGACCAGTGGTACTAAAATTCTAATACAAAATTGTACAAGAGTCTATTATGTTTACAGTGTAAGTATATAATTTTATATGTATGTTTGAATTTAAAATTTTATAGTATAAATATTTGAGATTTCTCCTTTCATTACCTCACAAATATATTAATAAAATTATATTAATTAAGTTAAGATAAATTACAACACGTTTATTACATTTTTTTAAAAAATATATATGTTATGTAATGATTATATTTTATTAATTATATAATTACAACGAGTTAAAATATTTAGTTTAAAATTTTATTAATAAAAAAAAAAAGTTCACCTCCACCATGCAAGTCCCACAAGTTCCTCCTCCTGCACAATTCGATAAAGGTTTTGCCTGAAAATCAATACACACAAACTTACATATATAAATTTCATATTATATATCAAAAAAATATAATCATTTAATTTACGTACAAGTTAATTATAAAGAAACTTACATATGGTCCGTATAGCTCAATATTAGAATCCAGCATTATGTCTCTAAGCTTCTGGCCACCACAAGCTGTTCTGAAGTGTGTATCTGGTGTTCCATCGGGAAGTAATACTGACTATAGAAAAAGTAACGTAGTATTTTCAATTAACCAAACAAAACCTCCGTAATGCACTCATAATATCTTGACCTAATGCAAGTTGATTTGCAGTAAATAATTTCAAAGATTTGAAGTGATAAAAGACAATCAAGGTCTCCTTACATGTCAGCTCGCTCTAGATTAGAAGTGTGAGTCGCACATTTTTAACAATTAGAAAATAAAAAGTAAAACTTACATGAACAAATGCAAAATCAACGGAGGGTGGTTCATCTGGCTCTGTGGCCGGAGATTGAGTCTCCGGGATTGTGCTAAGGGCTCTGGTTTTCACTCTAGTGGCCTTAAGGGTTGTGCAAGTTCTGGCATTGGAAGGGAAGTAGGAAGAGAGTGATGAAGAAGAAGAAGAAGAAGAAGAAGGTAACCCATATATGTTTATGTGGAGAGCACTCATTTTTCTTTTCCTTGGTATTTCAAGATTATAAAGGCAACTTTTTGAGTAGTAAGATAGTTGTAGTTGCAGTAGTGAGTTTTGATATTTTGGTACAGATATGCTGTGTGGTGGCTGGCCCTTGTTTATCTTATCTGCTGTGTTATAGCAATGGGCTTGTATGAAAAGTGTGGTTTAAAATGTCGTCGTCATCATCATCCATGACCTGTACCTCTGTACAGGCTTTTTCTTTTTTGTGGTGAGCTGAAAACTTGTGGTTAATGGTGTTTTTTTCTTCTTCCTCTTTTTTCTTTTTAACTGTTCAACCAGTTTATATTGAAAGTTTTTGGAGAATCAAAATTTTTTCTTTTAAAATTGATTTATAAATATTGAAATACATAGTCTAACAATATCAGTAGTATCACTAAATATAAATAAGTTTTTATTCATCGGTGTTTTTCAATTTTCTAGTCATGTGGGCATAGAATAATAATACGATCTATAAGTAAAATTAATTCATTTGAAATTAAGTTCAATTTGATCATTACAATTTTACTAGTAAATTTGTAAATTAAGTTACTAATCTTGTTAGAAACTCAATCATCTCTTAATATTTTTTTACCTACAAACGTAATAAAATTGTTAAAACTAAATCTTATTTGATCACTGCAGTTTCATTAATATACTAGTGAAATAAATCATTAGTCCTATTAAAAATCTAGTCGTCTCGTAATATTTATTTTACATAAAAACAAAATATAATCACTTAAATTAAATTTAATTTAGTCTATTCAGTTATGATAACATATTAATAAAATAAATCATCAATTCTACTGAATCAAATATTATATGTTAGTTATCAGCAGCGAACATAATAACTCACAAAATAATAAATTTCATATTTTCAATAAAATTTAAACTCCGTAGCCTTCAAACCAAACATAAAGCTTGTAATTACCAAACTACCATGTCTTTGGTTATTTTTTTAGTCATTTTCATTTACTGTTGATATTGCAAAATAAGTGATATCCAACAAGTACTAAAACATCTGCATATCACCCATTTGGATTAATAAAAGTGTATTTCTTGCTCTTATCCCTTATTGCTAAGAGAGAATTTGATGACTTTCTATTTACAATATCAGACAAAACTCTTAATCTGAAACTTATGAACTTCCTGCAGCAGATAAAATAGAGAGAACAATAACTTGCCCTACAGAAAATATGATGAATATGGAGTTTCATCGGAGAGCAAAGCTAAATTTTAGGAGCCAGAATCAACCTCTGATCATGCTGTATGCAGATCTTCTGTTCAATAATCAGCATATTGTTGCTCAGTGCTTTACATATTGAGAGAAGTATAAATATATACTTTTTTCACTAACAACGAAAACCATACAAGATCCAGAAGATGATCAGTTTTCTAGGTAGTTATAGTGGAATTTCAATAAAGAAAGGCTTCAAAAGAGAAGTAAATCAGAAACCAATTCATCAACTAAAGAAGTTAGTATCACGTTCTCAATCTCTACACCCTCTTCAAATGCTTCTCGTTCAAAATCAAGCCATCTCCCGTGCCGGGAGCTCATATCCTTTTCAACAAGCTCATCAACCATCAAATCTCCCATGCTATTCCAACATATAATCTCCTTGTACAATTCTTCCGCCAACCACCCTTTTCTTTGGAACAGATCTGCACATTTTACCCATGCCCTGAAGCTTCCACTGAGAAGTTGTCGACACATTAGGTCCAGGCATTCACTTACACAATCAAACAAAGCCCGTCTTCTCAGCTTGGAGTACTCTTCTTTATTGCTCTCCATTGTACTCTCTTGATTCTCTAGCTGGTAATAGAGACTACGGGGTAAGAGCCGGCGAATTTGACCCAAGGCAAACTCTGTTAACATTAGGTCCGCATGTTTCAGTATACGTCTCACATACTCGAGTTCCCATTTACTTGGTTCTTTAGATTCTAGCAAACTGAAAGTTCCTATAGATATGGAAGAGGCTGATTCAGACACTTCTGCCTCATCTTCGACTGTTTGAGATTCATTTGCAGGAAACCAATTGAATTCTTGTTGATTTAAGAAAAACTGCTCGCTGCCTGAAAGGACATAAGTAATTGGTCAGTTGGTTTACTTT